AAGGGGTGTAAGACCGGATGCATGCTGCTTGGGTTGTACTTCAGCTTTGACAAGCATTGCCAACTAATTATATCTATCAATAAGGATCCGGCTAACCCTCTAGTTAGCTACCTTGCATTAAACAACCATGGGTTCATCATGCGGCCGACGGACTTTGCCCTAGTCCTTTTCAGTAATGAAAACCTCAGGAAATATCTCAACAGACGTTTGACCCTTTTCAACTAAGTTGATAATTTTTCGGACATGGTCCTTGGTGCCTCGGATAGTTGGACCGCCTGAAGCGAAATTGCCTACAATTGTGCAAATCATGTCCAAATCTGTGTCCGAACCACTGTCAGCTTTGGCTGCTTTTTTGGACGGCTACTTAGGGTCCGTCTGCAAGGTCACCTTGGACTTGAGAATATAGGACTTCGGCAATCCCTTCCTAGCCAACCTATCTAACAACCGCTTGAGGCTGTAGCAGTCGTTGGTATAGTGGCTTATGTCCTCATGGAAATGGTAGTATTTGCTCTTGTCACAGTTTTTGGCCAGATCCTTCATTGCCGAGGGCTTTTCAATGCTCACCCGCTCTTTGATTTCCATGAGGATGGAATAGCAGTCCTTGTTAAACTCGTACTTAGGGACATACAGTTTAACCTCTTTGTTCTTCTTTTTGGACGGTTGACTAGAGTTGTTGACCGCCCAGACATCTTTTCTCTTTTTGCTCTCTTCATTTTTCTAAGCCGACTGATCTTGCCGACTCCCCTTCTGTTTGTCAGACCTCTTTGAGTCCGACTGCTTGCTTGAGGAGCAAAGTTCTGTCGCCTGTATATAGGCCTCTTGCCTCCCTCAACGCCTCTGGAAGAGTGAAGATTCTCTTCCGGACGAGGTCAAACTTGAATTGTGACCCGTCCTTCAAACCCTTGAAGAAGTCTGTAAAAGCAACTTCGTCAGACAGCCCTTGAATTTGGATTCTCACCAGATTGAACTGCCTGACATAAGAACGGAGCCCCTCACAGTCTCCCTGAACAACCGTACCCAAGTCGTTGCTAGTCTTCTTGGCCAGTATGTTCATTGAGAAGTTAGAGGCAACAGGAACGCAAGCTTCCTGAAATTGTTGATGCACCCAGAAGGCAAGTTGCCGAACCACTGTTGGGAAATGCCCTTTAGTGTAGCTGGGAAGCACCTGCACCATGTGGCGTCACCCAACCCCTGTAGATACATGAGGTTGGTATATGTCATTAGGTGGTCTTCTAGGTTGGTGGTGCCATCATAGGCACCAACCAAAACGTTCTTAACCTTGGTCGGCTGTGCCACCTCGATTATCTCCTTGTAGAACGCAGAGGGTTGTTCTCCAAGTTTGAGCAGATGGAGCGGCCAGTCCAAGGGTTGGACCTGATATGCCGCATGTCCCCCGCAGAAGGTAGGTTGCGGGTATGGTTAGGCAAACGACCCGTATGTTTGATGGGGCACATACGGTGTCGAGCCTATCATTTGAGGATGTGTTCGGACGGAATTACCGCCTGATAGGTGCTCCTGCTTAGAATGGGAATACCTCATTGAGGTATTCCTGAAGCTATCTGGCATTGTCGGCGTTGATGGCGTGTCAGACAGTTGACTCCTCCTATGCTCGATGATCTGCCGAGCATTAGTGTAGGTCTTCTTGCTGCCATTAGGTTGTATATGTCGGATGGGCTTCCTTATTAACGTCTCTGGGAGACGAAATTTTGTCCAGTTGATCAAGGGTCGGTCCCCCTCCTTTTGCTTGGGATGTGGAGTGGGCTGCCTATCCTTGATCGTCTTGGTCCTCCTATAGAGAGAAGGATTCTTGGCTGCTGCTCCTTGCTTAAACCAGCCGCTTGACTTTTGATTAGGTCTTTCATCTCGCCCTTGAAGTTTGTCATAAACTTCAAGAACTCTGAACGGGTGATGTGAGCAATCAATCCTTTCAGCCTAAGGCTTGCCGGCTGACGTGCTCGCACCATCTTGGTTGACATTTTGTTCCTTCCTTTCTTTCTGATGGATGTGCTTTGAGATAAAGGAACCATCTTTGGTCGTATATACTTTAACCTCTGGATCCGACTTAGTATCATGGTCCGACTGGACGTCTATCCTTAGGAGGCGGTACAGGTTCTTTAGAAACCATCTTAGAGGTACTCTCCCCACAGACGGTGCCAATTGTTTCGGGATTTTCTGAGGTGTCCTGCGGAAGACTTACGTCACTAAGACTGGATCCTCACTCGCCTTTACCTGCAACAAACGGAAGCTCCGGTTATTCGAAGTTTCGCCTCCGACGATCAAGTTAGAATGTGTTGAAGTTGAGTAAAATGCGGAAAGTAAAGTAAGATCTTCTCGGATCCCGCGATCAGGTGTTTTCTCTGTTGTAAGAGAATAATTGATGTAATAAATGATTGTACGCGTCCCCAAAATGGGGTAATATTGGAAAAGGTTCCCTTCCGTAGGTCACTCAAACCTACGTTGGTGGGCTGCGCCATTTTTTTGCGCCTCAGGAGTAAGGCCTTTGAAGGCCGCCATTTTCCTTCATCATCATTGTGCCACGTGTCTCATCCTGGTTGGCCCATTTTAGGCACTTCTTAGGGTGACACGTGTCACACTCTGATTCGACCACGTGGCTTGGATATTTTTACCCTAATCATAATCTTTTTAATCTTATGTACGCTTAAAATTAGGTAACTTCAAATATTTATGCCATTGCAAGTCATAGAAACACATAACTAAGTACTTTAGACATAATTTGGGTGTTGTTTTACTCATTCACATTATAACGTGGAATTCGGGCAAATTTAAAGTCATTTTGCCCATTTTTAGTCTACTTTGGTCTGAATAAGTGTATAAAATAAGTAAATTGTATATTAATGGTATTTAAAGACATATATAATCATAGCTAAGTAATTTAGACATGATAGGAGTGTTATTTTACTCATTTACTTAAACACATGGAAAATGGGCATGTTAGAAGTCATTTTGCTCATTTTAGGACCATTACGGTCATTTTTACTCATAAAATTAAGTATCTTGTTAAATTAATGGTATTATTAGTCCTAGATATTTATAACTAAGTAATTTAGACATGATATGAGAGTGTTCTTTTATGCATTTACTTCAAAACTTGAAATTTTGGCAAAGTAAGAGTCATATTATTCATTTCGGAACCATTTTGGTCATATATAGTCCAAAATCTATGTTACTTAACTAATTAAGGGTATTTAAGGACATAGAAACTCATAACTAAGTATTTAAGGCATGGTTTGAGTGTTACTTTATTCATATACATTAAAACATGGAAAACAGGCAAGTTAGAACTTAGAAGGCATTTTGCGAATTTAGGAACCTTTTTGGTCTTATGCACTCTTAAAATTAGGTAACTTCAAATATTTATGCCATTTCAAGTCATAGAAACACATAACTAAGTACTTTAGACATAGTTTGAGTGTTATTTTGCTCATTCACATTATAACATGGAATTCGGGCAAAATTAAAGTCATTTTGCCCATTTTTAGTCTACTTTGGTCTAAATAAGTGTATAAAATAAGTAAATTGTATATTAATGGTATTTAAAGACATAGACAATCATAACTAAGTAATTTAGACATGATAGGAGTGTTTTTTTACTCATTCACTTAAACACATGGAAAATGGGCATGTTAGAAGTCATTTTGCTCATTTTAGGACCATTATGGTCATTTTTACTCCTAAAACTAAGTAACTTATTAAATTAATGGTATTATTGGTCCTAGATATTCATAACTAAGTAATTTAGACATGATATGAGTGTTCTTTTATGCATTTACTTCAAAACATGAAAATTGGGCAAAGTAAAAGTCATATTATTCATTACGGAACCATTTTGGTCATATATAGTCCTAAATCTATGTTACTTGACAAATTAAGGGTATTTAAAGCCATAGTAACTCATAACTAAGTACTTAAGGCATGGTTTGAGTGTTACTTTATTCATATACATTAAAACATGGAAAACGGGCAAGTTAGAACTTAGAAGGCATTTTGCCCATTTAGGAACCTTTTTGGTCTTATGTACTCTTAAAATTAGGCAACTTCAAATATTTATGCCATTACAAGTCATAGAAACACATAACTAAGTACTTTAGACATGATTAGAGTGTTATTTTACTCATTCACATTATAACGTGGAATTCGGGCAAATGTAAAGTTATTTTGCCTATTTTTAGTCTACTTTGGTCTCAATAAGTTTATAAACTAAGTAAATGGGCATATTAATGGTATTTACATAAAGAGACATTTATGTCATTTTTATCACAAATTAAAAGATCAACTTTCCGAAAAGAAACTTTAGAATAATCAATGACACCCTAATCTTCTTACACGATTAAAGACTATGAACAGAGTGACTCAGAGAATAAGGAAAAAAAAGACATAAAATATATTTATATATGAGCTTTGCACCCTACAATGCCTGAACAACCAATATGTTATCACTTTCTACCACAACCTTTGTGCTGCCCCTCTCAACAACAAGTTTCAGCCCATCCATACCACACATCTTTAGCATGTACTGATTTACTGCACAGCCCAACACTTCCCTCTTATAGTCCCTAATAATAGCCCCTAACCCAGCACCAACCTCACCTAAGAACCCAGCGTCAACATTTACCTTAACCCACCCCTCCTTAGGCTTAGACCAGCTAACAAGATCCTGGACAAAAGCCTGTTGGGTTTTTCTCATGCATCAATCCTTCCATAACAAAGAAGTTACGGGCATCCCAAATCGCCCAACAAAGTGTCATAACAATCTCAATCTCAACTTCATCCAACTCCACTTTCGTCCACTCATAAAAAAATGTCATAAAAGGCACAAAACATATATAATTACCAAATAAAATTCTTCCCAACACAACAATTTAATAACAAAGAAACCACAATTCAAGAGAATTTACCCAAATGGTTTCAGAAACTGCAAAAATTCAGCAAAACCCACATAAAAATGACAGCAAAGAAGAGAACAGAAGCGAAAAAACGACCTTATCAGAGAATAGTATCAGAATTGTGGGTGATAGAAGCGCAGCGTTGTCGAAACTGAGCAAGAAATACGATTGTGTTTCTCCCCCAATCTTCAACTCATTTGAAGGACCCACCAACTAATTCAACTAGCTCAACTGAAATTGAGTAAAAAAGCAAGCACATCAGCCTAAAAGAAGAACACCTAGAAGCTTAAATTTTAAGTTTTTTTTTTTTGAAGAAAAACCTAGATTTACAAGAAATAAATTAAATTTTCGTGATTATGCTAGAAAATAAAATAAATTCCTTTATTTTAAGTTATCTTTCTTTGTATGCTCTACGGTAAATACCCAAAAGAATGAGAGGTCACCTGAATGGAGAGGTGCGCTTCAATGGGAATTGTGGGACTACAGGACGGACGTCGGAAGCAGCACAAATTATGGTGATTGCAGTTGGCCGGTAAAGACGGCGGCAAACTGCAGGTCAAAAATGAGAAGAACGGAGGGAGAAGAAAAGGAACCACGCATGAGAGAGAGAGGAAAATGGACCACGCGAACTCGAATCGTCGGCAACCCAAACTGGCAGCGACCTGAACGGCGGCGATGTGAGTATTGAACGGTGGCGATGTGAGTTGAATACTTAGCTTAGTAAGGGGTTGAGAAGGAGTGAAAATGAATTGAAGGGGGCTGCTGGGTCGAAAATAAATTGAGAAGGGTTTATTGTTCTTTCTTTTGGGGCGGGGTATCTTTTTAATGCTACGGTTATAAAAATCGTAGCATTTTTTTATTGTTTCTTGAGGTAATTCCGAAATAACTAAAATATTGCTACGGTTTTTAAAATAACCGTAGCAAATGTGGGGTGGTAAAAAACATATTTTCTACTAGTGATATCGTTTAGTATTTTTGTAATTTTATTTAAGTAGTAAATAGAATAGAGTAGAGTTACTGGTTGCAGTTAATCCAAGAAGCCCATGAAATGGAGGCCAAAAGGAGTTAGGTGGATGAGATCCATAAAAGTTTAAGTGGGAGCTTTTGCTTTATTAGTTTTCTTAGGATTAGGGGTCATACTATGTCTTGTTTATTAATGCATTAGTAGATTATGCATGCTAGGTTTTATTAATGTTTTTGATGATGCTATAGTTCACTAAATTAATCACAACATAATACATCTAGGTCCCGGAAATATTGAAATTGTTTTTCCAATTAAATACCTAACAACCCTTCGATCGTGAGTGATGGTTCTGCCTCTGCAGGGTATCACTTGTTATCTTAGGTAATTTGGAGTAGATCACGTTTTACACATTTAACTGGTTATGCTCAACAAGGTTACCTAAAGAGTTTAGAACCTTGAAGCAAAGGGTAATAATTAAACATGAGATGGATAATTATTCAACCAAGAGTTGCAATAAGTAAAGAGTTTACTTACCTTGAAAATGTAATGCTTGATGGTAGGGCCTCAGTCTGGTCAACTACTACACAAATAAAGGATCTTGGAATCACTTAATTCAATTAGGACAATTTTTTTTTTAATAAAGTGCTTTAAAGTTACCTAATAATAACTTTTATGGTGCTTTGATGTTTATAAAACATATTATTAAACTTTGCCTGATTTTGTCGTAGATGAATAGCAATTCTTACCACCAACAATGAAAACGACTCCTGGAACACCACAATTAAACAGTGTGTTAGAAAGGAGAAATCGAACTTTTCTAGACATGGTTAGATCTATGATGAGCTTTACAGATCTACACATATCGTTTTGGGGATATGCTTTAAAAATAGCTGCGAAAGTACTAAACAGAAGCCCGTCCAAAGCTGTGGAAAAGACCCCATATGAGTTATGGAATGGAAAAGTTCTAAAGTTGTCTTTTCTTAAGATTTGGGGTTGTGAAACTTATGTAAAATGTTTACGAAGCAATAAATTATGTCCCAAATCAGACAAATGTTTCTGTAGACACCAGATTGTATCTCCTCAAAAACCAAACCCAGTAATGAGTACCTTTCACGTCTTTGATTATCGAGTTCGGTGAAGAGTTGAAGAGTCTCGTGAAGTTCCCTTTATCCTTGACCATTTCTAGCCTTTCCTTAAATGTTTTAACCCAAAATAATTCATTTCGTGCCTTTAAACCCAAAATTATTCATTTCGTGTCCTTAAAATCATTCATTTCGTGTCCAAATCCATAAAAACGTCCAAAACAGTTTATTTTGGTCCTTAATCCTGGTTCAATTATTGTGTATTTGGATGGGGCTTGAAAAGAGCTTTCCAACGATATATTATAAGCCCAAATCCGACTTATAACGAATAAATTATGGCCAAAATACTAAACCGAGCCCGAACCAAGCCTTACCTGCGACCCAATGACCATGTGGAGGGTCCATTAACCTTAACATCATTCCTAAACCAATTAGGATTTACTACAAGCTTCTGAAATCCTCTGGAAGCTTGTTTTCGATCGTAAATCCCTTAGGATTTATTATTAGCTTCTAGAATTCTCTGTAAGGTTTTAATATGTATCCCGTTTTTGAAAAGATAAAGATTTAAAAATTTTACATCGGATAAAACATCTGTTTTTCAATGATCCTAATCCCAGTCAAAATAGAATACGTACGAATATTTGTTTAACCCAATCCAATTGGGAATAGAATTCCGTACGGATTCAGTCTTTCAAAAACCATTGCTGAGCGACAGCACCATCGCGCCACGACAAGGCTGTCGTGCCACGATGGAATCTATTTTACTTAGGTTTGAATTCTGACTATTTTCTGATCCTTCGACCCTCTTTTTTCCTTATAAATAGAGGTCGTTTCACCCCGTTTTGAATCACCAACAATTATCATCTAATCCCTTCTCTAACACTTTCTCTCTCTCTCATGGTTCTTTTCTTAGCCTAGCCTAAACATATCCCAACATATCCAAACACACATCCTTGATATTTTTCCCTAATCAAACACCATACCTCCTTCACAAGCTTTGAATACTCTTAGCCAATCTCAAAGTTGCCTTCGACCTCGACGTGAAAGGTTGATAGTTCTGAGGGTTTGGTTCCAAATCTATATTTCAATTTATTTGGTTTATTTGATTTAATCTTTCTTGAAGTTACTAACGTGTGTATTGTTTTGATAGACAGAGATACGAGGCATCAAAGTAAGTAATTGGATTACCTAATTATTATTTTGACATAGAAATCATGCTTAGAATATTATTTTAATTCCTAGTATCATGTTAGGATGTTGATTTTGATTCCTAGTATCATGTTTAGGTGAATGCTTTGTTATGATTTTTATTAGTGACATGCTAGGATTTGTTATTAATCCTTTTAGTATCATGCCTAGGATCTTACTAATCATGTTTTGATGATGTTATTATGATGATGATTGTTGTGTCAATTATAATACATTGCTTGATTATTCATAATTTATTGCTTGATCATGCCCCTTCTTGCAGGTTTAAAGGGAATTTATACTTGAAATCACGTCTAATAAGATAATTGATAATTTGTTTTAGGCTTAATATGATTTTAATTCAAGTGATCACCAATATTAGATTTATTTGTGCATTAATAATCAACCAATGTAGATTAAAAAGGTTTAGGGTTAACTTGTTGTATGTATGTTAATCAGAAAGCGCATATGGATATCATAAGAATCAAGTAGAGGCTGATTTAGGGCGGGTTCAATCTCTTTTAGGTTGGATTCGTACCATCATCCCCGAATACCCAGTCATGGTTCCGAACCACTATGGAGTTAGCGATCTTCGTGATCGTGAATGGGGTGTAACCATCACACCCGTGAACGGTTTACAAGTTCCTAAAACTTGTTGGCGACTCCTTTATCTCTAGCTTCCTTCCCTATGGACGCCACCATGCCTAAAAGCATAATCACAGTGGGGCTCAAGGTTGAGTTTGAAAAATTCCCTACAGTTTCTTTGTGGGTTATCCCAGGAAAATAGGAGGTTATTACTTCTACTATCGCGAAGATAACAAAGTGTTTGTTGCTCGCGATGGTGTCTTTCTAGAAAAAGAATTTCTTTCTAAAAAGCCAAGTGGGATTAAAGTGGTTCTCGAAGAGATTCGAGACGAGCAACAAATGGATGTGGATAACACCACGTCAGAGGCGAGGGCACATGAGTCAACTCAGTTGACAAATCATGAGTCGGAGGAAGTTAATTCAACTAGCGAAACTCCTATGGTCCCACTTGAATCTAATTCATGCGAAAATCTTCAAAGAGTTGAAGAGAATATTTCTACTGTTGCTCCAACCCTACGTAGGTCAGTCATAATCAGAAACAAACAGTTTGTTGATGTTCTATTAACTGCAGATTTCAAAATTTTCATATTGGAATGTGCAGAACCTACAACCTACAAGCAAGCTTTGGCGAGCCCTAACTCTAAGAAATGGCTTGAGGCCATGAAATCCAAAATGGACTCCATGTCTAAAAATGATGTGTGGACCCTAGTAGACTTGTCAGATGGGGTAAAACCTATTGGTTCCAAATGAGTTTACAAGATCAAGATAGACAAAGATGGTAATGTCTACATCTATAAAGCTAGACTGGTCGCAAAAGGCTTCAGGAAAATTTATGGTATTGACTATGATGAAACCTTTTCCCCAGTAGCAATGCTTAATTCAATTCAGATTCTTCTAGCGATTGCTACATTTTTCGATTACAAAGTTTTGGAGATGGATGTCAAAACCGCCTTCTTGAATGGGTTCTAGTTTTAAAGATCCAGAAATTTCTAGAAAGGTTTGCAAGCTTTAGAAATTCATTTTATGGATTGAAACAAGCATCTCGGAGTTGGAACATTCATTCTGATGAGGCAATCAAACAGTTTGGTTTTCTCAAGAGCAAAGAAGAATCTTGTATTTACAAGAAGGTTAGTAGAAGCAGCCTTGTCTTCCTAGTCTTGTATGTAGATGAAATACTACTCATGGAAAACGACATACCAATGCTTGAATAAATCAAGGAGTGGTTGAGAAGTTATTTCTCGATGAAGGACTTGGGAAATACCAAGCACATTTTAGGAATTAAAATCCATCGAGACAGATCTCGAAGAATGATTGGACTAAGTCAAGAGACTTATATTGATAAGGTTCTCGATAGGTTCGACATGAAGGATTCTAAGAGAGGATTTCTTCCCATGTCTCATGGTATTATGCTTAGTAAAACTCAGTGCCCTCAAAAGCCAGAAGAGTTAAAGCGTTTGGCTAATATACCTTATGTATCAGCGATAGGGTCTATTATGTATGCCATGATATGTACAAGGCCAAATGTTTCATATGCCCTAAGCATGTATAGAAGATTTCAGGAAAATCCAAGTGAAGCACACTAGACTGCAACTAAGAATATACTATAGTACTTGAGAAGGACTAAGAGTATGTTCTTAGTATATGGTGGTGAAAGTGAGTTGGTTGTCAAAGGCTATACGGATGCGATCTTCCAAACAGACAGAGATGACTTTCAATCTCAATCAGGGTACATTTTCTGTCTGAATAGAGGAGTAGTGAGCTGGAAGAGTTCAAAGCAAAGCACCGTCGCAGACTCCACGACAAAATTTGATTATTTGGCTGCGGTAGAAGTAGCTAAGGAAGTCGTTTGGATCAAGAAGTTCCTCACATAGCTGGACATTATACCTAGTGCTTAGGAGGGAATTGAGTTATTTTGTGACAACAATGGTGCCATTGCTCAATCAAAGGAACCAAGGTCACATTACAAGTCCAAACATGTAATGAGAAAGTATCATCTCATTCGAGAGATCGTTAGCAGGCGCGATGTCAAGATCTGCAAAGTTCATACGGATGAGAATATGGCCGATCCGCTTACTAAACCCCTTCCACAGCCTAAGCATGAGAGTCACACTAGGGCTGAAGGATTGAAGTAAGTGCTTGAATGGAATTAAAGTTGTATAGGTTTTGAGAAAGCTTATTACAAATGTGATACATTGACTTGCAGTTAATGTTTAATATGAATTTTTATTCTTCTTATTTAATTGTGGTTTAATATATTAAATAAAATGTCCAAAATAATTATGAATTTTTGGGATTATCAAATACGTGATTTGGTGAATCAAACCCCACAGGTGAACTGAATTCATAAATTATTTTAAGTTCCGAGTCCGAAATCGTTAAACCGGACATAAATGATGATTTCAATAAACGAACTAGCATGTAAGATTGACTGATAG